GTCCTCACTATCAATCACATTCCTCTGGATCCTGATACGCTTTTGGAGATTAACGGTGTTAGAATGGGAATGTACTCGGAAGGAGGTTCTTCACAGCTTAGGAGAGATAGGGTTGATAAGAAATCTGAAGAAGCTACTTATGTCAGCACAGACAATATCAGGTTAACGGGTAGTGTGAAGTTTGAGGTTTATGACAAAACTGAGCTAGTCTTGTCTGGAACTCTTGAGATGTCTGATTGTAATGGTTTCACTGGGGAATCAAAGAATCGATGGAAAATGAATTGTGAGGCTGAGGTCACTGCAGGGTCTGGTTTCTTTAAGGAGAAGAGCATTAACGGTCAAGAATTATCGTCCCCATTGCCAACTATCGAGGTCTATGTTACTGGTTGCTTCTCAGGAACCCCCATCATCTTAACCAAGACTCTGCAACTTGGTTTGAGAAAGAAGCAGAGTAGAAGAATGGCATTGGATTCAATTCCTGAGTATGAAACTGCAGAACCTCAGAAAGAGTACACCTCCTCTGCGCTTGATCTTCAGGTAACTTTCAAGTTGTCATTTGCCATGATTAAAATTCGTTCTCTCATTGTTCTAAGATATATCATATGCCTGATACAATCCTCTTTCGTCTCAATGCCTCACAGTTTTCTTGAACATTTTGTTTTGTGTTCAACACTTCTATTACTATCCCTGATGAAAAACTTATAATTCATAACATGTTGTGGTGGTAATTGGAACCTCTTCTTTCCCCATTGAATACATTGTTTGTTAGTTTTAAGAGGATAAAAGTCCTTTGTAAATTGAAGTGGACCAGTCTCCTCCTGATGAATTTGGCATGTGGCCTAGACAGAGTTTAGGACTGAAGAGATAAATAGGAATCTCCCAATGGCCTCATTTATCTTTAAGCTCTTATCCTTTTGTCTGCTACTTCTGTGACCCACATATGTTCGTCACTTACAATCCCCCAAGATTTGCTTCATTGTAATGTTGTGATTTGAAGTCTGTTGGATTCTTTGGAGATGGTCCATTTTAAAAATCATTATTCTTTGTATAGTAAGTTAGGATCATTACTTTTGTCTGTAGGCAACAGAGTACGGGAATTACAAAGAGGAATACGAAGGAGACATGTATTGGAGAAGTGAGTGCATAGATGGAGAGATGTCATGGTTCAATGCAGGTGTAAGGGTTGGTGTTGGGATTGGACTTGGTGTCTGTGTTGGTCTTGGGATTGGTGTCGGTCTTCTAGTTCGTACTTATCAATCAACAACCAGAACCTTCAGGAGGAGGCTTCTCTAGTTTAGTAATATACACATTTGCACTTTTTTTTTTCCTTGAAATTTTGAAAGAATCATCTTTTTAAAACCGTTTGTATTTGGGTGTGATGTGAATCAAACACTTTGGTGTGTGGATGTATTTGTTTTGCTGTAAATAAACGAGTGAGAATGTAGCTTTTTTTGTATTCAGAATTTGGCTGATGAGAACTAGCAAACTAGCTCTGTAACTAGATGGGTCTACAAATTCTAATTCGAATTTTTTGGCTTCAACGCCTTGCCTTGGAACATTGATTCTACAGTACTTTGATATCGATAAGATTTCTTTTGGCTTCGCTATGCGTCTGAATAGCAACTCAAATCCTTTTAGATTGAAGAGATCTTTATACATGTTGAAAAACAACCTACAATATGGCTACAACATCAACCTACAATATGGCTACAACATCGTACACAGCTTCCATCATGAGGAAAACTGCACAGCCATCATGATCCTGCACAAGTGGTTACAATCGGGTAACTTGTTAACAACCAGAGTAAGCAACCGTAATTCTTATTACACTTAACCATTACTGAATACACGTTGTACTGATTGATTATTGAGTGCCAGACTCACTCATCATCCACAAGATACAAATAGTTTCTTTATCTCCCACTCTCACGGACATTACTGTTCATCACCTTCTCTTCCAATCCTTCCCTTTACTTTTCTCCATCGTTCATGCGCTCTTCAATCAGTACACCAATCTCTATTTTCCAAGATCTAGGCCAACAAGTCTACAAGCTTTTCATAATCTTCTGCTCTTAAGAGAATCAAGAAAAGCAAAAGGTTGCAGTTTATCTAGAATATAAAAAGATCTATAACAGAGGTTATACAACAACCTTAAACATTCCAATTCGTTCTTGCAGATTGTTCTTCCACATTTGAGCTGATTGATTCCCTTTCCTACTTTGTGGATAGTATAAGTAGTTAAGACAAGTAACATTCAGAAAAAACTTTACGATTAGAAGATAGTTTTTACCAACAATCCGTGTAATTCCACAGTTACATGGACCAACCTCCTAACAACTCTTCAGGTTGTACTATATTCCATTGTACTACTTTGAATGAAACTATAACGTACCATGCTCACTCTGTTTCTGAAAAAGAATTGACCGAACAGATCAAAAATCTCTACAGGTTAAGAAAACATAATCAATACCTTGGTCATTACTCATTAGAAGCTCAATGTCTGGTCTGTGATTCTCTTCGATGATAGCACATGCAAGAAGCATTAAAAAAGAGCACAATTAGGGCTCTATATTGGGTCTGTAATTCTATCCCTGGTTTGCACTAATGGGTCATATGCAAGACGCATATTAAAGAGCTCAAGTGATTAATGCCTCAATACTGGGCTCTGTCATCCTCTTTGTGGTATGCAAGAAGCATATGAAACAAGACACACAGTCCGGACGGAGAAAGAGCCGGGCCAAGAAAGTTTATTATTAACCAATCCCGTGGCATCAAGGGGTTTGTGACCTGCCAAGCAAGCGCACCTGTCATGGCAAAGGTCATATACACCCCCTCCCTAATTTTTTGTATACACCTGTCATGATCATTCCTTTCTTTATCAACGAGGGTTGATTAGGATCAACGAGAGTTGATGATTAGAGGATCAACGAGAGTTGATAGGAACATCATCGAGAGATGATAACTAGATAAACGAGAGTTGTGATAATATGATCATCGAGAGATTGGAAGATCAACGAGAGTTGATTGGAACATCATAAAGAGATGATAAGTAGCTCAACGAGGAGTTGATTGGAAGATCATCGAGAGATGATAAGTAGCTCAACGAGGAGTTGATTGGAAGATCATCGAGAGATGATAAGTAGCTCAACGAGGAGTTGATAATAAGATCAACGAGAATTAGTCAGATGTTGTTTAATTCCTTGCGCTTCTATTGATACCTACAAGAATACGAAACAAATTAAGTTAGCAGACTATAATCCAATCTTACAAGATATGTAAGCAGCAGATTTGAGAAACACTAGGCATAGAAAACAATGTACCTCGATGACAGGCCTGAAAACTCTATCCATCCCATATCGGCTGCTAAGGATCAACGTCACCCGAATCGGCATAAGACAAGCCAAACCCTAACAAGAAGATCATCTGTTAGATAAGGAGATTCAAAGGTCAAACAAAGAAAGCAACAAAAGAATCTTTCTAATAGAAACCAAACTTACATGAAAATAACCGGACCAAGTTCCTTTTCTCATTCCTAGATATACACACAAGACTTCTAATTGTTGATCAGCGAGGTTGATGAAAAAGATCAACGAGAATTGATTAGTTAGATCAACGAGGGGTTGATTCGATAAGATCAACGAGGTGTTGATTCGACAAGATCAACGAGGGGTTGATTAGATAAGATCAACGAGGGGTTGATTCGATAAGATCAACGAGGTGTTGATTCGACAAGATCAACGATGGGTTGATTAGATAAGATCAACGAGGGTTGATTCAAGAGATCAACGAGAGTTGATTAATTAAGATCAACGAGAAATTGATTGGAGGATCAACGAGAGTTGATGAGATGTTGTTCTGTCTCTGTACGCTCATATAAATCCCTACAAGAGTAGGAACAAAGATGGAGTTAGCAGACTTAATACGGACCAAACATAATCTAGTAATCCAAGTCTACAAGACATATATGCAAAAGACCCAACAGATTCATAAACTGTAATAACGAAATCGACAAACCCTATCCGTATATAACAAGTTACCTCCATGGCCGTCCGGAATACTCGATCAGATGTTGATTTCCCACCCGAATCCGGTAAAATCGAGCAAAACCCTAGAAACAAGAAATCTCAGCAAAAAAATCACCGGAAAAAAAAAGGGATACAGAAGGCGATCATCATTCATTGATCACTTTTTTATATATAGAGAGGAGCAAAAGCCAGAATCCTAGTCGGATTTAGATTTCGGAGAGATCCTACGGTTGTTATTGTTTTAAGTTTAAAGCAATCGACGGTCCAGATGATATACAAAGAGAAAAGGCGGTTAATAATTAAAAAAGGCGGTTAATATGTTCGCGCGTGATAAGTTGGCAAGATTCACCAATGCTAGATAGCCACGTGTCCTAGTTTCTTGTGAATTAAGTATAGGATCCTAATGTGTTTAAAGTTTAACCATAATGGGCTAATTATCTTTTAACTTTTTATCTTGACTAAACCAATAGGATAAAAATCCAAATCTAACATAGACAGAGAACACAGTTTGGTTGCTATTTCTCTCAAAGCAATATTTTATGCATTTTCATTTATTTTTTTCTTACAGATTAATCGATAATTAAGGTTACATTTTCTGTCTATGTTATGAATTTGGCATGTGGCCTAGACAGAGTTTACGACTGAAGAGATAAATAGGAATCTCTCATTTGCCTCCTTTATCTTTAAGCTCTTATCCTTTTGTCTGCTGCTTCTGTGACCCACATACGTTCGTCACTTACAATCCCCCAATATTTGCTTTGTTGTAATGTTGTGATTTGAAGTCTGTTGGATTCTTTGGAGATGGTCCATCTTAAAAATCATCACTCTTTGTATAGTAAGGATCATTCCTTTTGTCTGTAGGCAACAGAGTACGCGAATTACAAAGAGGAATACGAAGGAGACATGTATTGGAGAAGTGAGTGCATAGATGGATAGATGACATGGTTTAATGCAGGTGTAAGAGTTGGTGTTGGGATAGGACTTGGTGTCTGTGTTGGTCTTGGGATTGGTGTCGGTCTTCTAGTTCGTACTTACCAATCAACAACCAGAACCTTCAGGAGGAGGCTTCTCTAGTTTAGTAATACACACATTTGCCCTTTTTTTTACCTTGAAATTTTGAAAGAATCATCTTTTTAAAACCGTATTTGGGTGTGATGTAAAGTAAAACACTTTGGTGTGTGGATATGTTTGGTATTTGTTTGCTGTAAATAAACGAGTGAGAATGTAGCTTTTTTTGTATTCAGAATTTGGCTGATGAGTTCTAGCAAACTAGCTCTGTAACTTCAATTTTTTGGCAGATGGGTCTACAAATTCTAATTTGAATTTTTGGCTTCACGTCTTGCCTTGGAACATTGATTCTACTTTGATATCGATCAGATTTTTTTGGCTACTCTATGCTTCTGAATAACACCTCGATTCCTTTGAGATTGAAGCGATCTTTTTACATGTTTAACACAACATACAATAAACCAGAGTAAGCAACCCTAATTCTTATTACTCTTAACCATGAATGAATACACACGTTGTACTGATTGATTATTGAGTGCCAGACTCACTCATCACCCACAAGATACAAAAAGTTTATTTATCTCCCACTCCTACCAACGTTATTGTTCATCTCCTTCTCTTCCAATCTTTCTCTTCACTTTTCTCCATCGTTCATGCACTCTTCAGGGCCTATCAGTACACCAATCTTTATTTTCCAAGATCTAATGCCAACAAGTCTACCGATTTTCATAATCTTCTTCTGCTAAGAGGATGAAAAAAAGCAAAAGGTTGCAGTTTATCTAGAATATAAAAATATCCATACCATAGGCTATACAGCCACCTTAAACATTCCTATTCGTTCATGCAGATTGTTCTTCCACATTTGAGCTGAATCAGCTGATTGATTCCCTTTCCTACTTTGTGGATAGAACAAGTAACATTCAGACAAAACCTTTGGATTAGACGATAGTTTTTACCAACAATCCGTGCAATTCCACAGGTACAGGGACCAACCTCCCAACAACTCTTCAGGTTGTACTATATTCCATTGTACTACTTGGAACGAGACTCTAACGTACCATGCTCACTCTGTTTCTGAAAAAGAATTGACCGAACAGATTAAACATCTCTACAGGTTAAGAAAACATAATCACTACCTTGGTCATTAGAAACTCAATGTCTGGTCTGTGATTCTCTTCGATGATAGCACTTGGAAGAAGCATATTTAATAGCATAAGTGATGCTCCATATAGAGTCTGTGATTCCATTCCTGGTTTGCACTAATGGCAAATATGCAGGAAGCATATTAGAGAGCACAGGAAACCAGAAGCTCAAGTGATAGATGACTCAATACTGGGCTCTGTCATCCTCTTTGTGGTATGCAAGAAGCATATGAAACAAGACACACATTCGGAGGGAGAGAGAGCCGGGCCAAGAGAGTTTATTATTAACCAATCCCGTGCCATCCCTCATCCCTCCACGAAACCAAAAATTAGATCTTTTTATTAAGGGGTTTGTGACCTGCCAAGCAAGCGCACCTGTCATGGCAAAGGTCATCTACACCACCTCCCTAATTTTTTGTGTACATCTGTTTCTTCTTTTCAGTTTAAAAGAACAAACAAAAACCTTGTTCAAGATTATTCCTTTCTTTATCAACGAGAGTTGATGATTAGAGGGTTGATGATTAGAAGATCAACGAGAGTTGATTGGAACATCATTGAGAGATGATAACTAGATCAACGAGAGTTGATAATAAGATCATCGATAGATGATAACTAGATCAACGAGAGTTGATAATAAGATCATCGAGAGATGATAAGTAGATCAACGAGGGGTTGATGGTAAGATCAACGAGAATTGATCAGATGTTGTTTTTTCCATGCTCTTATATTGATACCTACAGGAATATGAAACAAATTGAGTTAGCAAACTGTCATCCAATATTACAAGATATGTGAGCAGATGATTAGAGAAACACTAGGCATTGAAAACAATGTACCTCGCTGACAGTCCTGAAAACTCTATCCATCCCAGATCGGCGGCTAAGGATCAACGTCACCCGAATCGGTATAAAACAAGCCAAACCATAACAAGAAGAACATGAGTTAGATAAGGAGATTCAAAGGATAATCATAGAAAGTAACAAAGAATCTCACATCAAACTTAATCGCAGTTAGCAACCAACCTTACATGAAAATAACCGGACCAAGATCCTTCCTTTTCTCGTTCTTAGATACACAGACTTTTAATTGCTGATCAACGAGAATTGATTCGAGAGATCAACGAGGGATTGATTAGATAAGATCAACGAGAGTTGATTCAAGAGATCGACGAGGAGTTGAATCGATAAGATCAACGAGAGTTGATTAGATTAAAATCAACGAGAGTTGATTATATAGATCAAAGAGAAATTGATCGGAGGATCAACGAGAGTTGATTATATGTTGTTTTGTCCCCTTAAGTTTGTATAAATCCCTACAGGAATAAGAAAAAGTTAGTATACCTTCATACGGACCAAACACAATCCAGTAATCCAATTCTACAAGACATATATGCAAAAGACCTAACAGATTCGGACACAGTAATAACGAAATCGACAAACCCTATCCGTATATACCTCGATGAGAGGCCGGAAAACTTGATCAATCGCAAATCGACGCAAAAGATCAACGGGAATTGATCAGCTGTTGATTTCCCACCCGAACCCGATATATCCAGCAAAACCCTAGAAGCACGATTGCATATATATAGAGGGGGGCAAACCCCCCAGAATCCTAGTTGGATTTAGATTTCGGAGGGATCCTACGGTTGGTATATGTTTATCTGTAAGGAATTCGACGGTCCAGATGAAACACAAAGAGAAAAGGCGGTTAATAATTAAAAAAAGGCGGTTAATATGTTCGCGCGTGATAAGTTGGCAAGATTCACCAATGCTAGAGATCCACGTGTCCTAGTTTCTTGTGAATTAAACTATAGGATCCTAATGTGTTTAAAGTTTAACCATAATGGGCTAATTATCTTTTAACTATTTATCTTGACTAAACCAATGGAATAAATATCCAAATTTAACATAGACAGAGAACACAATTTGGTTGCTATTTTTCTTAAGAGCAATATTTTATGCATTTTCATTTATTTTTTTCTTACAGATTAATCGATAATTAAGGTTACATTTTCGGGTATTTAATATTTAATCTTATATACAATTAAAATCTTATGTGATTCTCATGGGCTTTCTTTCTTTCGTCTTTCACAACTCAACGAGGATTGGGCTGGGCCGAAGTAGACTCTGACTTAACAAAACGAACAAGAGACAACTTTGCTATATCGGAAACGGCACCGTTGCGAACGGCAGGGGAATCACTGATCAGAAACTCATACGCCGCTTCGAAAGCTTCTCGCCAGAACCGAGGAAGCTTAACGCCACCGGAGCGTCCGTACACATCCCACATCTGTCTCACCACTTTCTCTCTCTCTTCAATCTCCTGTCAAATTTCACAAAATTTAAAAATCTAATTTAAGTCAACATTTCACAAAAACTCATTGTTTCGTACCAGGACGTCGAGATCATCGCTGACGGAGAATCCGTTTGAGCCGTCAAAAGAATGGAACAAACCGATTCCTTTGAGAGAGACGGAACCAGTTAACATAGAACCAAAGGCCAAAAGAAGAAGTGCGAGTAGAACCCAAAGTTTGTAACCAGCGGTTTTGCGGCCATTTACAGGCTTTCTCACCGGTAAGAGCGTTTTCGATTCTTCAAACTTCATTTTTTCTAACTGATGTACGAAACTGTCGATGGGACTTGTTGATAAAGGAACACAGGATCAATGTGAAAGAGAGACTTTTGAAGTGGATAAATTGACAAAAAGTTGGTAGTACTGGAGTTTTACTTAAATAGCGCCAAGTGGGATGGGTTAAAAACCCACCATGACGTTGACTTCGTGTTGACTTTACTAACGCGTTCTCTTGCTATGGCTGCGATCATTTTTCAAAATGTGTAGATAATCCAGACGGTGGATATACAAGTCTTTGTGTCCAAACATACTTAACAATGACCAAAACAAGCATTGACCACGCTTTATAGTCTGACCAAAGAATGATTACTTTACTTCAACGGTTCAACCAATTCACTGCATTTGTTCTTCTTTTTCTAGTAGTAGGATTTAAAAACTTGAAGCCAAAAAATAACTTTGGTATAGATTTGACAAAACTAATTAATAACCAGAGCATTAAAGTCGTCAAATATTATTGGTTACTTCACTTAGTCTTAAACCAATTCATTGTAGTTTTCTTGTTTTTGTTCTTCGGGAAAGAGGTTAAAAGTGTCCAAAACATGTGTTCTATGCTTTTGCACACTACTTAATTTAGTGGTTAATTATAATCCCAATTGTTCAAGACATACATGTGTTCACGAATGAATCAGAAACTCAGAGATTGCTTATGTAGCTTATGGCAGACAATCAACATGACATCAATTTCAGACCGCCCGTCTGCTAATATCTCATCATTGTTTCTTTAGATTGTTCTAATTTTCACAGGAAAACAAATAATTATAATAAAGGACTTATAATTCATGATTTATAATCTGCATCGATTGAATTTGAAAAATTAAAACTCCAACTAAACCCAGCAAAACTTAAAGAAGTAAACACTGAAACGTAATCGAAAACGAACCAATTAACTATGTAAACTTTTAAATAGAGGTTTGAGATTATAGCATCAGATAATAAGCAGAGATTGGAAGTCAACACTGATACATCTGTGTGTAGGATAAGATTCTACTCATCATTTGCCAATCAAAACCCCTAATTTTTCAAAATCTATCAAGTACAAAACAAGAATAAGCATAAAGCAATAACTTCCGAAGAAATTGAAGAAAGAACTATGAGTGATCGAGGAGGTTTTGGTTGCTGGATTGTTAAAAGAGTTTATATAGCGAAGAGGTGACGAACTAGGGTTTAGTTTTTAATGGGCTTGCTTTTTTATTTTCAGGACCTAACGGGCTATTAAATCGAAAACGTTTCGGCCCATTAACATATGTTTCCAATAATGTGGTGCAGCTAGCTATAGTATAATTCGTTTGATGTTTTCTTTTATGAAAATGTCAATAGCTTTGATACACAAATGTCATTAACTTTTGACTTTTGTAAATACATTTTTTGTATGTGTTTTTATTTACATAGTATAGTTTTTATAGGAAAAAACCCACAATCTTAAACATGTCGAACAACAACAAGATTAAGTGTATCTTAGACATAAAAGGCAGACACCAAAAAAGGTTTGACATGATGAGAAAGAGATGTATCTCTGAATAGCCAAGGAAACTGCCTAACTGTCCGCATTCGCAATGTGAAGTCAAACTCGGTCTAAAGTGATAGATTGGTATACATTGCTTATGCAAATGCAGGCAAGTCATCCTTGGCTACCGAATAAATCGCTAATCGTCATGTCTTTCCTTTTTTTTTGTCTTTATTGTTCTTTAGATTATGTTTGGTTTGGATGTATATATTGTTTTTGTGATCTATAACTCCCAAAAATGTGTGGGTAGATACAGGAGTTTAAAGAGCCTAACATGTTTGACCCAACATGGCTCAAATGTGCGAATATTGCTATAAGCATGTGGGTGACTGAAACAAATCCATAGAGAACCGTCCATATGTAAAAGATTAGGTCTGGAGTGAGCACGAATATTCGATTAATTTAAACTATCAAGTGTCTTGCATCGTCCTTTTGGGTTTTGTTTAGTACTTTTTAGACCATCAATCTTTGGTAATTGGATTTCATGGGACATATATATATAGACTTGTCACCCATAAAACATTTTGCATCTCTATTGATTGACGTATGTGTACAAAAATAATCGATCGATTATCTCAATCAGTGCGGTAGAAAAGACAACTGCAACATTCATAGTGACTATACCTATAAAGTCTCTATATACCACAAATACAACATCCTTCTGCCGGTGTAAATAGTACTGTAGTAGCTAAATATAATTGATCGATATAAGTGTTGCTAACTTGCTCTTCTCATATTATTCAGATAAGCCATAATCCCCTATATGCAAAAGTCGGAAAGGAAAAAAGTGTTATTTTATATATGGGCGACAGCTTTCGTTCCCAACATCTCTCGTGAACGTGATGATACATTATTTCTAGCTATCTCTGAATACATATAATTAAGAATCATTCCACAAGTTATATTTTCAAATAAAAATTCACAAAATGATCCATATATTCCCTGTTACTACACAAATTCATATGGCATCATGACTTTTATAAATGTTCTTTCCTCTATATGGTCCCAAACACTAGTAGTCAACTAGTAAGAAAGGGGAATTGACCCGATAGAGATGCTTAGGTTTCAAAGCATATTTCTTGCCATTTGAGTAATCAAAAAACTTGTGGAAGAAGAGTAGAAAAAAAAATTAGTGAGACTGATCGATGGTATATTGTGTGATATATATGCTAGTATGCCGATCTCAAGAATACTGAAAAATATATGAGTTTTGAATTTAATTGCATGCCTTCTATCAAATATAAGAGAAACTTCAATTACACACAAAGATTTATTAGATTTCTTAATTAAATAAAAATTGAAACTTACGTCTTTTATATTTCTAGTGATTCGTAGTCTAACAAAATAAAATAAAACAACATTCTTCTAATTAAAATTTAATAGTAACATACAATCAATACATATATAAGACTAAATACGAATATTATTAATATGGTTCACCAACTGTTTGATACTAGAAGACCATCCAATTTCCAAATCTTTAAGAACATATTCCAAGGCCATGAACACATGTTGAGCAAACATATTGTGTCCACTCCATCTTTATACGGTCATGCCTATATAATACACATAGTAGTATTGTGGGTGTACTCATCAACAACCTCTTCATAAATATAGAAAATCATATAAGAGAGAATGGTGACATGAAGAATGAGAACTTGTGTGGTAGCCAAGGATGACTTGCCTGCGGTTTAAACCATACAATATCAAAGACTACTCGATCGATCGATAGTCTTAGAGTTGGTTAGTCGTCAGGCAGTCTCCTTGGCTATTCAAACAATTCTTGTTCTCTTCATTTCACATTTCTTTTTTCGTTTTTTGGTGAAACTTAACTTAAGTAACAAACATTGATAATCGATTTTGTTTGGCCTCCAAATATAATAGTTTTTACTTATTTTTTGGGGTTGGCCTCTAAATTTATGTTTATAGTAAGAAAAGAAATGGACGAAGATTTGGGGATCATGGTGGACTTTGTCAATGTATAAGCATTGGGACAATGTGTTTTTGAAAAATCGAGGGTGTTGCTTCACTGTGACCAAGAAACTTCACGTGGAGAATCTATGGATCTTGTCTTTGATTAGCATGTGTAGTTTCTATGTTTGGCCATCTAAAGTAGTCTGCCGGAAAAAAACTTATTTACGGTGATATCTTCGTAAAGAAAAGGTATTTGATCTTTGATTCAGCTGATTTGTGCGTTTTTATTTTGTTCGGATATGAGATTTTTTTTTTCAAAGTTACATCACTTTAATTTTATTTCTTGGATGAGAATAACTCTTAGAAGTTATATAACGGAGTTTCATCAATTCGGTTATCTATCACGAATTAGTACATTTGTAAATTAGTAATTACAAGAAAAAATGTTGGATTTACATGTGAATATTAGTTATAATCCTAGATATAGTTTGTCGACAAAATCATTTTGTGTAAAAATAAAAGTAAAACAATTTTTAAGTTTCTTTACTATTTACCAATAACACCCCCTAAATACTTTTCATTACCAATTCATTAATGGAAAGAATTTTTTTTTCAAAAAAAAAACTTAAAACAAGTTAAAAATATCAATGTTAAAAAGATATTACATCATAAATAGTCCTAAAAATATCTTAAGACACCTCTCACTCGTCTTAGCGCTCAAAAAAAAACCTTAAAACAAGTTAAAAATATCAATGTTAAAAAGATATTACATCATAAATAGTCCTAAAAATATCTTAAGACACCTCTCACTCGTCTTAGCGCTAAAGCTTCCCCGTGACCCGAAGACGACCGGAGCAAATTCCGGACACAAAGATCTCAAATTTCGACACTTTATCGATTTTCTTACATCACCCAAACAAAATCTGAGTTTAGACTCCAAACCGGACAGATCTTTCTTCTCTTTCCAGATCCTAAATCTTCATCTCCTACAGATCTGCATAAATGGCGGTTACTCACTGATTCAGACTCGGAAACAAAAGAAGAAAACTTTCTTGCTTATCCTTTTCCATTACGTTAATGGCGGATCCTCAAAACGGCAAGTCCTTCTTCTGCTTCTCCCTCATAATCTCCTTCACTTTGCTTTTCATTTCGCCGTCGTATGCCACCGAGTCTCAGGTTATCGAAGATGTTTCTACCGATGTAGCGGTCTCTGTTAGCGAACCCGATAGAGAAGCTGTTCTTTTGCATAATCTAGAGGAACTCGTTAAGAATCTGACGGAATTAGTCGCTAATCTAGATGCTAAGTTATCTGAAACTTCATTAACGGAGAAGAACGAGATCACTAAATCAGATGATGATGATATCGGAGGTGAGAAAGAGCGAGGGGGAGGAGGAAGAGCTAAGGCGTTTTCAGTGACTAAATACAGTCCGTTTTGGTCGGAGAGGTTTCAGTTTACATCAGCTGTGAAACTCAATTCCGATGCGACTTGTATCAATGTGTTGCCGTTTAAAGATTTCGAAGGTTCAAGCAAGTACTTTGCAATTGGAGATTCTAGAGGTAGAGTTTATGTGTTCTTGAGAAATGGTGATGTTTTGATTGAGTTTTTCACCACTGTTGATTCTCCGGTTACTGCTATGGTTTCGTATTTATCGGTGTTTAAGAACTCGAGTTTCGTGGTTACCGGTCATCAGAACGGTGCGGTTTTGTTGCATCGGATTCACGAGGGATCGAATGGGGAAGATTGGAACTCCAATTCTGTTTCGATGGAACATGTTGGGAAGTTTGATGTGGATGATTCAGCTGATCCTGTGACTTTGTTGGAAGTGCATCATGTGGGTCGAGTTAGGTATATATTGGCGACGGATTTAAGCGGGAAGCTCACGGTTTTAACTGAGAACAGGACGGTTTATGGGTCGGTTGTTCCATCGAGTAGACCGCTCGTGTTCTTGAAGCAAAGATTGTTGTTTCTTACTGAGTCTGGTGCTGGTTCGTTGGACTTAAGAAGCATGAAGATAAGAGAAACCGAGTGTGAAGGACTAAACCATTCGCTTGCGAGAACTTATGTTTTTGATGCTGCGGAACGATCTAAAGCTTATGGATTCACATCCGAGGGCGAGATCATTCACGTATTGCTTCACGGAGATATAATGAACTTCAAATGTAGAGTCAGATCCAAGAAAAAGTTCCAAATGGAGGAGCCAGTAGCTTTACAATCAATCAAAGGCTATCTTCTTGTTATCAATGAAGAAAAGGTTTTCGCTTTCAATGTATCGACTCAGCATTATGTCCGTACAGCGGGTCCTCGGCTTTTATTCTCTGCGGGATTAGAAGAGATCAGATCCACGTTCTTGAGCCATCGTGAATCATCTTCAAGAACCGCAGTAGTAAAGACTAGGCCTTTGATAGCTAGCGACCGGGAAAACCTTCTTGTGATCGGTTTAGAAAACGGATATTTCGCTGTTTATAAATCAAAGCTTCCAACTCTCAAAGGAGACTTCAACACAATGCTTTGGAGCAGTCCTGTGTTCTTCTTCATACTATTTCTATTCGGGGCTTGGCATTTCTTCGCCAAGAAGAAAGAATCGCTCACTGCATGGGGACCAGATGATCCTTTTACTCCGACCGGCGCACAAAACAGTTCGGCGAAAGAGCCGACATTTACTGAACCTTCAAGAAGAAACGATGACCTCATGGATCTACGGAGAAGGTACGCTGGTGGGTCGTACCGGTCAGTTGGAGCTAACGACCCGAGTTCAAGAGCCCCGGTTGATGGAAACTATAGAACAACCGCACAGGATCATAACAACTATCGCGGCGGCTCGGGTCTTGATTCAAACGGTTTTGGTAATAGAAGAGATCATTTGTTTGGTAACAACAAAGTTTTGGACAACGAAAGTTAGAATCTTTGGATTACTTGCAAATTCTGGCTCGTAATCACCACTTCAAAAATTGTAATCTTTGTAAGTTTATATAAACGCTAAAGTTTTTTTTTATTACTCGTTCGTTTTTTAACCGGAAAGTCTCTTGAAATTTTCGAATAATGTAAAACTCTGGTCAAAGAATAATTATACTTTGCCAATTTTCTATATAGATGAATTTAAATATAAGTTTGACAGCTTAACAACTTAATCTCAATCATAGTCAAGATGTGTTTTTTGGTCTATCATATCTCATGTGTGATCGTGCTAGCAAGTGGATAAATAATAGATGTGAGCCTTCTTTGTTTAATTTTTCTCTTTAATCTCGCGATTTAGAATGTGCTATGTTGACCGTCAGATGAGTCAGCGAAAAAGTCATCTCATCGAACGGTTAAAACTTCATCTTCAACTAAAGAATTTCAGAAAGGAATCTACATCGTGTGAAGTAGAGGAACATTACTTACGAGCTTTTGATTCATCGTCGTCGTCTTCGGAGACGAAGCCAAACACACAAGCTCTCTCTTTCTCTCAACAACTTCAAAAGCCGGCAGGTCTGACCCGAGACCTCCGAAGAAAACAGAACATTTCTAGGGTTTTGCTCTGATCCACCACATTACCAAAACTTTCTTCAATTAGGTGATCAAAGTAGGAGTCTTTTTTCATTTTGAGCTTCTGGGTCTTCTCTTTTGATTTCGCTAGTGTATAAGTAAGAGAAAGTCAACGGCCATGGCGGGTCGTAGAGATAGAAGCCAACAGCTCCGTGGATCTCGAATTGCGATCGCCATCCTCATCGGTATTTTTATCGGTTGCGTGTGCGCCGTTATGTTCCCATACGGCTTCTTCAACTCAAACTCAAGCTCATCTCTGAAAGTAAACGAACGTCTTTCGAAATCAAGCAATCAGGTACTACATCTTACGCCCTAAATCTCTAAAGCTCTAATTTTTTCGCGGTTCTGTGATCGAGTTACATATTATAGGTGTTACGTGGTTAGTGTCTAAACATAGAAATTCTTCTTGGTGATGTGTTAGTTGGAGTTTAGGTGAAGTTTATCTTGAAACTGGTTTGGTTGATTACTGGATTTTGTATCTTAATTTGGAATTAAGTTGAGTTGTTTCTGGATTCTTTGAGGTTTAAAGTTTTGAGTTTGTAGTTTACTTGGTGAAATTTCCATCACTTTCTTTGTTCAGGTTGGATCATCAGCTTGTGAATCGCCGGAACGAGTGAAAATGCTAAAATCAGACTTTGTATCTCTCTCAGAGAAGAATGCAGAGTTAAAGAAGGAAGTCAGAGAGTTAACAGAGAAGCTACGGTTAGCGGAGCAAGGATCAGACAATGCAAGAAAACAGGTTTTAGCATTGGGAAAACAGATCAAGGCGGGTCCTTTTGGGACTGTCAAGAGTCTGAGAACTAATCCAACTATCCTTTCCGATGAATCTATAAACCCAAGGTTGGCAAAGATTCTAGAGGAGATTGCTGTCGATAAAGAGGTAATCGTGGCTCTTGCAAACGCAAATGTGAAAGCTATGTTGGAGGTACAGATTGCTAGCATTAAGAGAGTGGGTATAACAAACTACCTGGTTGTTGCATTGGACGATTACATAGAGAATTTCTGTAAAGAGAAAGATGTTGCGTATTACAAGAGAGATCCAGACAAGGACGTGGACACTGTCGGGAAAACCGGAGGTAACCATGCCGTCTCTGGATTGAAATTCCGTGTGTTGAGAGAGTTCTTGCAACTCGGTTATGGTGTTCTTCTCTCCGATGTGGATATTGTCTTCTTGCAGAACCCATTTAGTCATCTATACAGAGACTCTGATGTGGAGTCAATGAGTGATGGCCATAACAATCATACGGCTTATGGATTCAACGATGTGTTTGATGAACCAGCCATGGGATGGGCTCGGTATGCTCACACTATGAGGATATGGGTTTTCAATTCGGGGTTTTTTTATCTAA